GTGTATTCACATTACAAATGAAACTGAGGACCAGAACCTGGATAAATAAGGTGCTTAAATCACACATTGAGCTGTACATGTGTTGAACATAACATGAAAATTACTCAACACACATATAAGGAAAAATCAAGTGTACTCTGTCCACAAATTATACATGCATTCACTGTAGCCTATGAACAGGGGTAGTGTTGGTGATGAATCCGTGGACTGAAAATTCTTCATGGATTGGTCATCTCTAAAACATGGTATGGAGATCTGTGCCTGGGCCAAGAAATTCAACAGTCCTTGTTAAATATTCTTCTCAGGGTCCTCTTGCATATATTCACAAGAGTTGACTTCAACCTAAAAAAAAAAATGTATCTATTGAAATATCTTTGTTTTGAATCCTGTCATCGAAATGTATATTATTATACATTTTGTCCATTTTTTTTTAAAAAAAAAATCTGCATGGTAATAAAATCTGATCATACTTATTACAGGTTCTACCAGCAACAGTCTAGGAAGTGATTTTGTTGTTGTTCAGTCACACAGTCGAGTCTGACTCTTCGCACCCCCATGGACCACATCACACCAGGCTCTCTCGCCGTCCTCTGGAGTTTGCTCAATTTCATGTTCGTTGCATCGATGACACTGTCTAACAAGCTCATCCTTTGCCATCCCCTTCTTCTTTGACCTTAAATCTTTCCCAGCATCAAGGTATTCTCCAGTGAGTGCTCCCTTCTCATTTGTTGGCCAAAGTATTTGAGCTTCAGCTTCAGTATCTGGCCTTTCAGGGAACAGTCAGGGATGATTTCTTTTAGGATTGACGGATTTGATCTCCTTGCAGTCCAAGGGACTCTCATGAGTCTTTTCCAGCACCATAATTCACCAGCACCAATCTATTCTTCGGCACTCGGTGGTCCAACTCTCGCAACCATACATTACTACTGGGAATACTTTTGCTGGCAGTGTAATGTCTTCACTTTATATTATGCTGTCAAGGTTTGCCATAGCTTTCCTGTCAAGGAGCAGGCGTCTTTTAATTTCATTGCTGCAGTCACCAACTGCAGTGTTCTTGGATCCCAGGAATGTGAAGTCTGTCACTGCTTCCATGACTTCCCCTTCTATTTGCCAAAGATTTATGGGGCTGGATGCCATTATCTTCGTTTTTTTATGTTGAGTTTCAAGCCAACTTTTGTGCTCTCCTCTTTCATTCTGAGCAAGAGGCTCTTTAGGTCCTCTTCACTTTCTGCCATTAGAGTGGTATTGTCTGCATATCTGAGGTTGCTGATGTTTTTCTCAGCAGTCTTAATTCCAGTTTGTGATTCATCCAGGCTGGCATTTCGCATGATATACTCTGCATATAAATTAAATAAGCAAGGTGACAATATGCATCCTTGCTGTACTCCTTTTCGTATTCTAAACCAATCAGTTGTTCCATGTCTCATTCTGTCACTTCTTGACCCTTATACAGGTTTCTCAGGAGACATGTGAAGGTGGTATGGTACTCCCATCTCTTTAAGGACTTGCCACAGTTTGTTGTGGTCCACACAATCAAACGCTTTAGAATAGTCAATGAAGCAGAAGTAGATGTTTTTCTGGTACTCTCTTGCTTTCTCCATAATCCAGCGAATGTTGTCAATTTGATCTCTAATTCCTCTACCTCTTTGAAACCCAGCTTGTACTTCTGATGGTTCTCTGTCCACGTACTGCTGCAGCCTAGCTTGTAGGGTCTTAAGCATGACCTTGCTAGTGTGTGAAATGAGTGCAGTTGTATGACAGCTAGAACATTCCTTGGCATTGCCCTTCTTTGGGATTGGAATGTAAACTGACCTTTTCCAATCCTGTGGCCACAGTTGCGTTTTCCAAATTTGCTGGCATCTGGAGTGCAGCACTTTAACAGCATAATCTTTTAAGACTTTGAATAGCTCAGCTGGAATACCATCATCTCCACTAGCTTTGTTGTTAGTAATGCTTTCTAGGGCCCATTTGCACTCCAGGATGTCTGGCTCGAGGTCAGTGATTTTACTGTTGTGGTTGTCAAGGACATTGATATTCTTGTTGTATAGTTCTTATGTGTATTCTTGCCAGCTCTTCCTAATCTCTTCTGCTTCTATTTGGTCTCTCCGTTTTTGTCCTATATCATGGCCAGCTTTGCATGGAATGTTCCCTTGATTTCTCCAATTTTCTTGAAGAGATCTCTAGTCCTTCCTATTCTGTTGTTTTCCTCTATTAATTTGCATTGTTCATTCAGGAAGGCCTCCTCATCTCTCCTTGCTGTTCTCTGGAAATCTGCATTCAGTTGGGTAAATCTTTCCTTTTCACCTTTGCCTTTCACTTTCCTTTTTTCCTCAGCTATTTGTAAAGCCTCATCAGACAGCCACTTTGCTTTCTTGCATTTCTTTTTCTTTGGGATGGTTTTGATTGCTGCCTCCTGTACAGTGTCAGGAACCTCTGTCCCTAGTTCTTCAAGCACTCTGTCTATCAAATCTAGTCCCTTAAACCTATTCTTCACCTCCACTGTATATTCATAAGGGATGTGATCTAGGTTAAACCTGAATGGCCTAGTGGTTTCCCCAGCTTTCTTCAGTTTAAGCCTGAATTTTGCAATTAATAGCTGATTATGTGAGCTACAGTCAGTTCCAGGTCCTGTTTTTACTGACTGTATGGAGCTTCTCCATCTTTGACTGCGAACTATATAATCAGTGTGATTTCGATGTTACCCATCTGGTGATGTCCATGTGTAGAGTCGCCTCTTAGGTTGTTGGAAAAGGGTGTTCGCTATGACCAGTGTGTTGTCTTGACAAAACTCTGTTAGCCTTTGCCCAGCTTCATTTTGTTCTCCAAGGCCAAACTTGTCTGTTATTCCGGTTACCTTTTGACTTTCTACTTTAGCATTCCAGTCCCATTTAATGATACAGACATCTTTTTTGGGTGTTAATTCTAGGAGGTGTTGTAGGTCTTCATAGAACCGGTCCACTTCAGCCTCTTCTGATTCAGTGGTTGGGACATAGACTTGGATTACTGTGATGTTGAATGGTTTGCCTTGGATTTGGACCGAGATCATTCTGTCATTTTTTGAGATTGTATCCCATTATTGCCTTTCTCACTCTCTTGTTGACTATAAAGGCCACACCATTTTTTCTATGGGATTCTTGGCCACAGTAGTACATATAATGGTCCTCTGAGTTAAATTCGCCCATTCCTGTCCACTTTAGTTCATGGATTCCGAAGATGTTGATGTTCAGTCTTGCCATCTCATTTTTGAACATGTGAAGCTTACCTTGATTCATAGATCTTACATTCCAGGTTCCTATGCAGTATTGTTCTTTGCAGCATTGGACTTTCCTTTCACCATCAGACACATCCACAGCTGAGTGTCCTTTCAGCTTTGGCCCAGCCACTTTACTCTTTCTGGGGTTACTTGTACTTGCCCTCTGCTCTTCCCCAGTAGCATATTGGACACCTTCCGACCTGAGAGGCTCATCTTCCAGCGTCATATCTTTTAGCCTTTTGATACTGTCCATGGGGTTTTCTTGGCAAAGATACTGGAGTGGGTTGCAATTTCCTTCTCCAGTGGATCACATCTTGTCTGAGTTCTCCACTGTGGCCTGTCTGTCCTGGGTGGCCCTCCACGGCATAGCCCACAGCCTCATTGAACCACGCAAGCCCCCTCGCCGCAACAAGGCAGTGATCCATGAGAGGGAGGACGTGATCTTAGCATCTACAAAATATAGAGCCTGTGAAGTTTGTTGAGAGTCATCATGGCTCAAGTTCAAAGGATTAAAGTGAAGCTCACTGAAAAGTTCAGGACAAGTCACATTATTCGTCAACCTGCTATGATGTTAAAATAGGATGTTTCTATCTGTGCCGCCCTGAGTTTGTTGGAAGTGATATTAAATTCAAATGTGACATACATGTGTATGCTTTTGCCCATAGATGTACAGGTTTGGCTGTGTGTCAATACCTGACAGCTACAAATACTAGCAAAATTGTGAAAATGGGTGGCTGCTACAATAGATTTATTTGGTTTTACTGTTAAACTATCTTGGTACACAGTTTTCTGCAAATAATACCCTTTCATATCTGGGAGAAAAAAAGTAATAGCTCTCAAGATGTCCAGATTTGGAGGAGGTGTGCTCTGCTTTTCCATAAATTTGTACAGTGCTATGTGTTGCATTAAATGATGGGACTTGTTTTTATCTTCTTTAAAAATTGATCTGTGCTTTGCTGAAGAACTTCTTGGCCTGCAAAAAGTATATTTTTACCAGTGTATTGATAAGGGCAGTTCTATGTTAATCCTGGGTAAGGAATTAAGATTTGGTCAGTGGATGGTGTACTCCCTTACATCCATTTCTTCCCATTTGATGTGCAATTTAGTCTGTGCCAGAGTCTCATCAGAGCAATGCCACTTTGAATTTTCAAAGACTGCAAATCTCAAACTGTAGGTGTCAAGAAAGGAGTTTTTGTTAATTTCAGGGTGCATGTAGTTCAGGATTATTGGTACCCTCGATGATGATTATTTTTCTTTCTCACTGGCATTTTATAGTGCTGTTTTCTTTAAGTTGCTGGTGCTTTTAAAGTCAATTTTATTTGATTTTTTTCTTTCTTTGTTTATGGCTGGCTGTTCAATTGTAGAATTGTTTTCAATGAATAAATAAACTGATAGTGCAATTTAGATTTTTAATTACTTTTGATGGTCAGTAGAAGATATGTGCCCGTTATCAGTCTCAGACCTGGGAACAGTGGAAGAGGCTTGTAGTTGCTGTACATTCCCATAGGGAAATACTTTCAATGGGAAAAGGAGAAGAGAAGGATATTTCAGCTTCACATCTCACGTATGGGATACTGCTGTGACTACCAAAGTGTAAATTACAGTTTGCTTTGCAGCCACAGCTGAAGCCAATCCATAATATCAAGCTACCATTCTGTATAATCACCTCTGCATGCCAATAAGTGAAAAAAGGAAAAGAAAATATAGAGAGACATGTTATTGTAATGGATTCTTTGCCTTCTTCCAGGTGTTCCAGATTGCCTATGTCATTATAAAATCAGCTAATTCACCAAGACCTGGAAACTGGATTTTGGAGCGTTCATTGGATGGTGTCAACTATCAGCCCTGGCAATACCATGCTATCACAGACACAGAATGTCTTACTCGTTACAACATTCCTCCTCGTACTGGACCTCCATCATATGCAAAAGATGATGAAGTTATATGCACCTCATATTATTCCAAGATCCAGCCACTGGAGAATGGTGAGGTAAGTTGAGAAATCAGCTGTTGGTGGTGGCAGTCCAACTGCCAGCTGAAGATATGCACAGCCTCATTAGCTAATGGGCATGTCTATAAATGTGAATGTACATTTTTAATACCTTTTTGGAGTTGGTATCCCTGAAGTCCTCAAAAAGACATTTTCGTGCCCAGAAGCACATGGTTGCCTGTACAAGGAGGCCAAATAGACAGTGGCTAAAATAACATGCATTGGGAAAAGCATGAATCAAATTTAAGAAAGTATACTTCATCCTAAAAGGACCATGTCCTCTCTAGTAACATCTATAAAGATGAACCTAGTGGCAAATGGCAGAATTCTTTCCTGATATGGAAAACCTGACTTACTTTTTGTTATATTATTAAATATTTTTGTTTACATTATAAAATTCTCAGGGCTATTCAGTTATGAAAAAACAGCTAAGGTTGTGGGAGCACAACAGGAGTGTATAAAATGATGTATGGAGTAAAGGAAGTGGACAGAAACACGTGGAGATAAACTTTTGCTCCGTCTTCCATAACACTAGAACTCAGCTGCACCCATAAATGGTAGAGTCTACGGAAGCCAAGGTTAGCGGAAGGGAGAGGCCTCAGCTGAACAGAATGCGATAGAACCCACCCTCCAAAGCAGTTATTTTCTCGGGGGGGGGGGAGATATCTATTCTCTGGGGTTCAGTTGTGATACCTGGTGATCTTCAAACTCCACATGGAGGTTGCCTACCCTAGGCTTAGCAGTCAGCATTTCAGAGCAGGGTCTGCTAGACCCAGGTTCTTGCTGTGGAAGCTGAGTGGGTGATTTTGGACCAGTCACAGACTTTCAGACTAACCTACCTCACAGGTTTGTTGTGCAAAAAGGGGGAGAGGAGAATGATGTAAGCTGCTTTGGTCCCCATTGCAGAGAAAACCTGCTGGGGAACCTCCTGGGGAACCATTGTTGCCAGTCTCCAGGTGAGGGCTGGAGATCACTCAGATTTACAACTGCTGTCCAGATGGCAGAGATCAGTTCTCCTGGAGAAAATGGTGAACTCTGTGTCCTTATACCCTGCTGAGATGGCTCCATATGACAGCCAATGTGACGTAGCAGTCAGGGCTTCAGAGCACAGTAGAGGCTGCAGGTGTGGGGGGGAGACAGAAAGTTGAAGACTGAGGGGCAGATAACGGCAGGTTGATGCTTGGCTGGGAGATAGAATTGCCAATGCCAGGTTGGGAAATTCCTGGAGACTTGAGGGGTGGAGCCTGGTGAGGTTGGAGTTTGAGGAGGGGTGGGACCTCAGACAGGTACAATGCCATAGACTCCACCCTCCAAACCAACCATTTCCTCCTGGGAAACCATTGTTGCCAGTGTCCAGGGGAGGGGTGGAGATCACTCAAAATTACAACTGCTCTTCAGGTAGCAGAGATCAGTTCCTCTGGAGAAAAGGTGGACTCTGTGTCATTATATCCTGCTGAGGTCGCCACAGCAAATTGATGCTGAGTTCCTGTCAGGTTTCGCTTGTTTAGGAACCTCATCTGGATGGGAAGCAGTGTCCAGGGTGAGGAAACACACTCAGCTGGTTGCCTCAGAAATCAGAGGGACTGGTTTCTCTCACCCGTCCTCCCTGGGTTCACCTGAGCTAGCAGTTTTGAGTGGATAGGAGCAACAGCTCTTGGCTCCCTCATTCTGCCTTTCTGCTCCAGGATTTGCACTTCCTCCTCAGCTTTCATTTGCCACAGCCTTTATTTCCTCCTTAATTCCCTGGGTCCCTCCCCGTCCAGGCCTTAAAGGTATAGAGCCATGCCCAGGTTCCCTCTGTCTTCCTACCCCCGGGTGAACTTGCCCTACCCTTCCACCTCCCAGTCAGCTCCTTGTTGCTTGCGCCATCCTCTGCTGTGGCCCCTTCCACCTCCCTTGATGACTGGGCCACCCCTGGCGGGTCTCTCTGGCAGGATCCCAGTCCCTTCTTTAAAGCCACAAAGGGGGTTGCCGCTTGACGGCCATTGTAGTCTTTGGATGGCAGGAGGGCCCCCGTTGAGCCCTCCTGACAGTGCCCAAGACTGGGGCACTCTCCCAGAGACTCTTTCTAGAACTCGTATTTATTTCCACAATGGGCTTTACTCCTAATAATATATACTATTCCATTGCTGATTTTTTTATTCTGGATTCCACCCAGTGTCATTAAGCAGAGCCAACAAAAGGACAGCCTTATAAGAACCAGTCAGAGAAGGTGATATCACTCTGTGGTACACTTTCATATAAAACATGGGATATTTGAATTAATCATTCAAGTTTACACCTCAACTACAGATTTTGATGAGGAAGAAATTGAAAGCTCTTAGGCACCTGTCCAGGAAGAAATTGATTACACACCTAAACAAAATGTGCTGATAATCATAGGTGACTGGAACACAAAAGTAGGAAACAAAATACTATTGGAAGTTAGGAGCACAAAATGAAGCAGGAGTGTGACCAGTAGAATTCTGTGAAGACCGCAATTTGCTCATTGCAAACACATGTTCCAGGCAACCGAATATGCAAATGGTATATGTGGATATCACCGGATTACCAACAGAGAAATCAAATAGATTACATAATCGGAAATTGAAGATGGAGAAACTCTATTCTCTCTGCTAAAACAAGACCAGGAACAGGTTATGGTATACAGACCATGAATTGTTAATATCACAAATTAGAATAAAGCTGAAGAAAAACACCAAAACATTAATGCTACAGTACAATCTGAACAGCATTCCAGAAGACTTTAAAGGCCATATAAAGAACAGGTTTGCATTACTAAGTTCAAGTGAATGTGAACCAGAAGAACTATGGGTTGAAACCAGAGATATAGGGCTGCCAAATCCCCCCAGGGGGCGGATTTCCCCCCGCTTTGGAGGCCCGATTTCCGCCCCCGCGGAATCGGGCCCCGGGGGAAACCCCACCCCCGCGTGCACGTCACAGGGAAGTGACGTCATGACGCCGGGCACGCTGGGGGCGGGGCACAGCCATTTGAGGGGAAAACATGACGTCACTTACCTGTGATGTACATGCGGCGCGCACGCACCGGGAGCCAGCACAAAGTCCCCCGCTGGCATACGTAAGTCGATTTGGCAACCCTACAGAGATATCATCAACAAATGTGCAAAAACAATTCCTGAAGCCAAAAGGAATGAAAAGTCTCAATGGTTGACTAATGAAACTCTTAAAATTGCTATAAGTAGACAAGAAGCAAAATTAAAAGGTGACAAAAAGAGAATTAAAAGCTTCAATAGTGTACCAGCAACTGGCACATAGAGACAAAGATAACTATTATAAAAACCAGTGTAAAAAAAGGGAAGATAACAACAATGATGACAACAACAACAAAGAACAAGAAATCTGCTCTACAAGATCCAAGAAATCAAAGGGAAATTTAAAACACGGTTAGGCATGCTGAAACATCAACAATGAAATACATTAGAATCTTTTGAAGGGAAACCTGCAATTTTAGAAAGTGAAATGAAAGTTGCCTTGAGAGCAATTAGGAGAAACAAACTACTAGGAGTAGATGGGATATCGATAAAGCTATTCCAAACCACAGAAATGGAGTACATCAAACTCTAACAAGAATATGCCAACAAATTTGGAAAATAAAACAATGGTTCACAGACTGGAAATGCTCAATTTGCATTCCAATTCTGAAAAAAAAGAAACATCAAAGACTGCAGCAACGTTTGGACCATTGCATTAATTTCTCATGTGAGTAAAGTGATGCTCAAAATCTTACAACAAAGACTGTTATCATATACAGAATGAGAAATTCCATATGATCAAGCTGGGTTCAAAAAAGGAAGAGGCACCAGAGATCATATTGCAAATTTATGTTGTTTACTGGAGCATATGAGAGAATTTCAGAAGAAAATCAGCTTGTGTTTCATTACAGAAAATCTTTTGATTCTGTGGATCATGAAAAGCTATGGTTGGCTTTAAAAAAAATGGGTGTGCCAAAACATCTGATTGTTTGGATGCTGCAACCTAAAATTGGAACAAGAAGCTACTGTTAGGGCAGGATCTGAGAAACAGAATGGTAGAAACTGGCAAAGGTGTTGGACAAGGATGTATTTTATCTCCCTATCTCTTCAATCTTTTAATGTAGAACATGAAAATACATTAACTGAACTAGACAAAATAAAAAAAATAATTTAGGAAAAATAAGCCTATAATCTCTATTCCTTTCATTATCACCTCACCTCTCTTTTCTCTATTCCTTTGCTTTTCCAATTTTCCTTCCCTATTTAGCATTCTTTCTATTCTCCCAGAATTGTATGCAGTGAAGAATGTAGTAAAAATATTTAGAAAACTAGTGAGTATAATGATACTCTGGATTAGTAATAATTATCTAGTGAGCTATGTGTAGTTTTATGCCTTGTAAAATTTCCTTTGCAGCAAATGTGAATAGCAGGTCAAATCTCTGTTATTTTTGTTGTTGTTAATGCTGCTTTCTAATCAACATTTGGTTTAGTGAGCTATATACCTACATCTTTGGTAATTTTATATAGGACAATTTGTATGTGAGGATTTGGCAGGCATAATAGGGTTGCCAGATCCATTTTTCAGAATACCTGGAAATTTCGGGTGGTCCCTGAGGAGGGCAGGGTCTGGATTGAGGATGTCATACCATAGTGTCCACCCTCTAAAACTGCCTTTTAAAATCTCTGTATTCTCTGTAGAATTAATCCATGTAGTCTGGAGATAATTTGTAATTCTGGAAGAACTCCAGGCTTCTCTCCAAATGCCTTTTCACTGCGTCAGTGAGGCCTCTTTCCTGATTTAACTGAGACATGCCAAAGGTTGCCGGCCCCCAAGTGGGGTTTGAGATCTCCTGGGATTACAACTGATCTCCAGGCAGCAGGTACCTGTTCACCTGGACAAAATGGCCACTTTGGAAGGTGGACTCTATGGCATTCTACCCCATTGAAATCCTTCCCTTCCCCACACCCTGCCCTCCTCAGGCGCCACCCCCAGAATCCCCAGGTGTT